ATCACTCACGGACATTCCTGTTCCTGGACAATGAATGACTCACCCACGGCGTTCTGGCGCCCCCCAGTGGACACTGAACACTATCACACCCGGGACGGACATTTTTAAAAGGCACTCCTGGATTCATTATTCCAATAATCTGCATTTGTGCCCGACACGTGTGTATCATTGTCAAGTAATGTGAATGCGGTGTGTGCCTGTACATGTGTTATGAATGTCTGTATTAATCCTGCGTTTGTGCCATTATAACATGTCTGTTGTGAAGGAGGTCCCGGGCGGCGCACAAGGATGACGTCACGGACGCGCCCCCTTTAGAAGTCAATATAAACACACACAATGCAACAGAACGACCTCTTGGTTTTCCCGAAATCACTATCGCAACTATTTCTTTTGGTACGTGTCTCCTACACGACCTACGCCCGCCACCATCTCGGGCCTATACATCCACGAGGACAGCAGCCACTCTCGCTGTCGGAGACGAGGACCTTCCATCGCCAGCCACTTTCGGGCTCCCTGGAACACCCCACCGCAACGCTATTCTAGACCGTGTTGTGTGTGGAACCCACGCCTGGATCCGATCTGCTGGCTTCCTCCCGCTCCCTGTTCGAACAAAGACCACGTGGACGAGAACATCGCCTCCATCCTATTCTTCATCCTCATCCTTCCATCTCCATCCTCCCTCGTCATCTTTCCATCGCCCACCTCCCTTGAACGGCTCAAAGTAAGACCGTTCTTTGTTGGAGTGTGATTCAAATGAGATGTATACAACTTCTGTTTAATGTGACCAGAAATCCTTTTCGTTATATTTTCTATCTTCAATTTTTGTAGTCAATAAACCCACGTTAAACTTTAACTCAATCATTTAAGCGTCGTGTTTTTAAATCTTGGATATCTCTGGCTGATTTACGCATTCACTACCTATTAGATTATAAGACCTACTCGAGGCAAAGTTAGTTGGATCTGTGCAGAAGTAACTCTGCTGGTGCCCTAAAAATAAAAGCAGATCCCCCACTCGTGTAGAACGGCAGACTCTGATTTGGAGACTAGCCGCACTACACTACATCACACTATTCATCTCTTAATACATATTATTATTACCCTACATAATGGTGCCCTGTTTGTGAGATCCGCGCATATAACCAGATTTATCAACTCGTACTCTGTGATTTGACCTGTAATACGCTAACTTAAGCACTGCTCACGCTCCAAGCCGTCTCCCCCCACCTCCCCACCCCACGCCTCTCCCTGCTACCCGTTGCCATAGTGACTTCGACGCCAATCGAGCCCCCCTACGCCCCGCTTGCGATAAAAGCGCTCGTGCATGCACCAGACTATATTAATTTAGTCTTAAATCCCGACGTTTGTATTGGGTACTACGCATTGTCTGCAACGTATCGCCCTACCGAGGCCTGGTAGGCGATGTGACATTGTGAAGCCGCTTCCCTCTTAAGAGAAAGCGCAAAACTTAGCCTTGAAAACCACAGTACGCCGTGTCCAGAACACGGGCGTACAAACCTACTCTGTGTCCCTTTGTGACCCGTGTCACGGAGGCCCGTAACAGAGTGTTTATGTGTATAAAGGCTGCGAATGGCAGCGGCTTGAATGTGATGCTATTGTTCTGCTAGGCTGCCGCTAACCCTGTCTCACCATTCTTTCCGCCTGCTAACCTGCTGTTGTACACACACACCAGGACTCTACAGCACATTACAGACAAACGCCACTCCACCACTGCAAATACGTGCTTGTGCGAACCGTGTAACTCGCTGCGAGACTTTTCATTGTCTACTCTGCTGCTAGTCCTCCATGCTCGGCGAGCTAACGGCTAGCTACATTCCTTTGTTCTAGCATAAGGCTAACTTCCGCCGTTGGCGCGCTAGCTTCGAGGCTACGCTCGAACAGGGCCCACCGCTCCTAAATACCACTCTCCCACTAATAAGCTGCTCTCTTACTGTCAAAATTAGTGCCACTCTGTTTAACCAAACTGCATTCGGTTGCCAAAACTCAATGTTTACTGCCTAAACTACTGCTAAACCTGCTGTTTTCGGCAAGCTACAGGCTAGCTACAACCCTTTGTTTTTAGCATACGGCTAACTTCCGGCCCCGGTGCGCTAAAAGCCTGTGTTTCGACGATCAAAGGGCGCTAGCCGTCTCGGCATACTGCTAAACGAGCCGCACCTCTTTTATTGTCTAACACAGGACTGCTTTCCGGTCCCGGTACACTACTTCCGGGGCCACGTTGCTGCTGTCTTGACATTTTATTCTGCTCCTCCTACTGCATGTCACTGCTAGATCGCACTGCTGCCCATGTTTCTGACATTAATACTGTTTGGCTACAATTCTGTGCTGTTTTGGTGGGCTCCAACCCAATAATACCCAACACTGACAAAATCGATGCTGGATTGTTCTAAACTGAAACTTTAATGCTGCCCCCCACTGCTGCATGTACTTGGTGTACCACATTGCTGCGTTGGTGAAACTAATAATTTGATTCTGCCCCTGCCTACTGCACGTTATAACTAACACATTACTGTGGTGACTAATCCTATTCTGTACTCGTGCCTAATGCACGTTATTGTTGAAACCACGTCGGTGTGTTGATTTAACAAATACTGCACTCCCACCGCCTGGTCAAAACTAATACTCTATTTCTGCCCCCACGCCACGTGCTGTCACTAAAACTGCATTGCCTTGCCGCTCAGCCTGCTGCCTTCTTGCTACTGCTTACTTGAGCTGCGTCTCAAGCTACGCCGCGCCCCACGCTGCGTCTCAAACCGACGCTGCGTCTCGAGCTACGCCGCGCCCCACGCTGCGTCTCAAGACGCCGCTGCGTCCCTAACGCCGCAGTCGCGCCTCAACGCCGCTGCGTCTCAAGCTACGCCACGCCCCACGCTGCGTCTCAAGCTACGCCGCGCCCCACGCTGCGTCTCAAGACGCCGCTGCGTCCCTAACGCCGCAGTCGCGCCTCAACGCCGCTGCGTCTCAAGCTACGCCGCGCCCCACGCTGCGTCTCAAACCGACGCTGCGTCTCAAGCTACGTCGCGCCCCACGCTGCGTCTCAAGACGCCGCTGCGTCCCTAACGCCGCAGTCGCGCCTCAACGCCGCTGCGTCTCAAGCTACGCCGCGCCCCACGCTGCGTCTCAAGCTACGCCGCGCCCCACGCTGCGTCTCAAACCGACGCTGCGTCTCAAGCTACGCCGCGCCCCACGCTGCGTCTCAAGACGCCGCTGCGTCCCTAACGCCGCAGTCGCGCCTCAACGCCGCTGCGTCTGAAGCTACGCCACGCCCCACGCTGCGTCTCAAGCTACGCCGCGCCCCACGCTGCGTCTCAAGACGCCGCTGCGTCCCTAACGGCGCAGTCGCGCCTCAACGCCGCTGCGTCTCAAGCTACGCCGCGCCCCACGCTGCGTCTCAAGACGCCGCTGCGTCCCTAACGCCACAGTTGCGCCTCACCGGCGCTGCGTCTCAAGCTACGCCGCGCCCCACGCTGCGTCTCAAACCGACGCTGCGTCTCAAGCTACGCCGCGCCCCACGCTGCGTCTCAAGACGCCGCAGTTGCGCCTCACCACCGCTGCGTCTCAAGCTACGCCGCGCCCCACGCTGCGTCTCAAACCGACGCTGCGTCTCAAACTACGCCGCGCCCCACGCTGCGTCTCAAGACGCCGCTGCGTCCCTAACGCCGCAGTTGCGCCTCACCGCCGCTGCGTCTCAAGCTACGCCGCGCCCCACGCTGCGTCTCAAACCAACGCTGCGCCTCAAGCTACGCCGCGCCCCACGCTGCGTCTCAAACCAACGCTGCGCCTCAAGCTACGCCGCGCCCCACGCTGCGTCTAACGCCGCAGGTGCGTCCCTAACGCCGCAGTTGCGTCTCTAACGCAGGTGCGTCTCAAACGCCGCAGTTGCGTCTCTAACGCAGGTGCGTCTCAAACGCCGCAATTGCGTCTCTAACGCAGGTGCGTCTCAAACGCCGCAGTTGCGTCTCTAACGCCGCGCCCTTGCACCGCGTCCTTACGCCGCGCCCTACCGCTGCGTATTAACGCTGCGCCCTAATACTGCTGCTACCGCTGGTGCCACTACTACCCCTGCGTGCGCCAACGCCCCTAACCCCAACGCTCTTCGCTGACACACAGGTGAAGAAGCACTAACGCCCGACCCCAGTCCTAAGCTACCTACTCCCATACACCGCCACACGAAGAGGACGCTGTAGTCACGGCTTTGACACACACCAAGGTTTGCACCTCCACACAAACAACAGCTGTACTACCCGCTCTATAGCACTGCTTTCCTCCTTTCATCCTCTCACCGTGTCAAGCACACACGTTCCAAATCATACTCGCATACACTCACCCACACAAATATGGAAACCGATGGCGGAAACTCGCCACGACCGAGCGAGCACGACAGTGTCGTGGAGGAACACGACGTAGTGGATAACTTTCTGCGCGACTTCACAGAGAAGTTATCCCCAGGGGCCTACGACATGCTTGAGCACGGCTCACCCTCTGACTTACTGGATGCCACTTCCACATTGGCATCCGAAGCTATTAGGAAGAAACTGGAAGGTAAGACCCTGACCCAGTGGCTGGGACAGCTAGCCGCGGTCTCCAGAATAACCTTACGCGACTCCGAAGCCCAAAACCAAAGGCTTCAAGACACGGTAGGTGAACTCGAACGGCAACTAGCGGAAGCTAAGAGGTCCGCCGCGAGCCGCTTGGAACCAATCCAACAGGTAAGTAGGAACCACCAACTGGGACTGAACACGATTCCAAGCGCGACCATGGATCTAGATCGCGCAGCGAGAATCAGGGCCGCTATTTCGAACGAAACCGGCCGAGACAGTGCCTCCGGCCCACACTCCCCTCACTCCGACCGTGACCGTCATCGTCCGAGAGTGAACGCAGGAGCGTGGCCGAACTGGTAAGTATCATCACGGGAAAGGACCAGAATCAAAGGTCAAAGGCACGATACACAACCCAACAGTAACAATCGGAACAGGCCCCAGCGGTCCGTCAACAATGGACCCGACCACGTTGCGCGCGACCCCCGCCAAACAACGGGACCGCCCACAACTACAGCCAACCCTCAACACAACATTAGACACATCGACCACTTTGACCCCAGACTCGACCCACCGACGAGCCAAGCGACGTACCACGTGACAGACCGCTCACGGGCCCCCGGGGACCTCTCCGTCTATGAGAGACAACCCCCGGCCGGACCCGCTGCAACGCATCGGCACATTAAATACGAAACGCATGGTAATGCATCATCTCAAGAAATGCTGCACACGTCGTTTATATTTTCAGTGATTTCATATTAAGTGGGGCCTAGTCAGAGTCGGCCAGACCATGTGAGGAATGCAGAGCTCCCCCAGCCAGATAAGAGTTGTTTGGAGAAGGAGATTGATGTCAGACCAGACCAAGACCAGACCAGACAAAGTCCGGAGTCCAGGCTGGCTGGGGTACGCGCCTCCCAAAACCAGAAAAAGCTGGATCAGACTGGACCAGTCTGGGACCTGTGACGTCATCAGACCTTCTGATAGAAACTGCTGGGAGGAGATTTTCAAGAAGTCAGAGCAGGGACAGTTAGACAGAGAACATGGCAGAGCGCCTGCATGTTCTCTGCACATTTTCAGGCCTGGAGGGAAAGTTTTTAGGATGGCTCAGCATAGGGTTAGTTTTAGAGAATTAATGGCTCCAAGGGTTTTGTATCGATATTTAATTGTAAAGAGAATTAAATGTTCTATTTTTAACTCTTGCATTCTTGGCCTTATTTCTGTATCAAATTCTGAACACGTCAGTCAAATCTTTTTTGACAACAGATGGTGACCCTCGACGTGATTTGATACAGAAAGAAGACGCAAGATGAGCTCAGATAGATAGACTGGGTCTGTTGGGTCTTGGGGCTCTCTACTCTGCAAAACACAGGTAAGCAGATACCATTTCTAAAATCTGCACATTGTTTTAAATAGAATACAGAGAGATCTCGGCCCAGCATGATTGCAGCGTGGACAAGACCGCCGTGACGGGCGATTCTATCGGACGCGATAGAACAATAGTCAGGTTTTTTGACGATTTTGAACCTTGAGGGATGTTGGTCTCTCTCTAAAAAAGAATATACAGGAAGACAAAGTCCACAGAGTTTACAGTGCAGAGAGGCACAAGTGTATAGTGAAAAAATAGGAATAGAATTAGAGAAATAGGGACAGCTTTAGGGTCAGAACAGGATAATAAAACCTTCTATATCCCCCGGGGGGCGGGAAAAAGGGTACAATTAATTTAAACAGGAAAAAGCCAAGTATTTAAACTGATGGATTCTATATATAGAATAATAATGATCTGATTAATGAGGAAAAAAAGAGAGCCACTTGGCTGTAGTATACGAGTTTTCATGTGAAGAAATGACAAAAGATCAGTCTGGGAGTTTTTCTCTTGTATTGTGATGTAATGTTTCAATAGTTACAGAGGTATTACGAAAAAAAAAAAAAAAAATCTTGCTGTGACTAGTGATGCATTAGTCATGTAAGCAAATTGTAATGTTTTCCATTACTGACGTATTTAAGGATAAAATGTAAAGTGTCGTTTGACGTGAGAAAAAACTTTTACCACTGATTAAGACCTTGTCACGATAAAAACGAGGAAAATGTAACAAAAGGGGGTGTATTTCAATCGTCCATGTTTCCTTTGTTCGGGAGGCCACTCAGCCCCCTCCCCTCCCTCTTTCTGTCTTCTCTCTCTCTCTCTCTCTCTTTCTCTCTCTCTCTCGTGAAGAAAGAACTATTACCAAATATTTTTTTGTAGAAAATTACATTTATACACACGATAATGTTACTGTCATGGAGCCATATGATCACAGAACTTTGAGTTAGATTATAAAGAGGCATTATTTTATTTTTATCTCCGAGGCGTCTAGACAAGTTATTAAACATTTCTTCCCTACATTTTGGTGATATAAAAGTTAGAATGATTTTAGAGAGCATTATACTTTTGGAAAAATAGGGCTTAGGATAGCAGTTGAATGCAGAATTCGGTTTTCAGAATCTAATGTTTAAAATGTTAATATTAATTATTTCATAGGTTTATTCAGAGTTGTAATTAATCATTGGTTTTGTATGGTAATTAACACACTTGTTTGTGTTTCTTGTTTGTCTGTTTTTTCCGAGAAAACTTCTGTCTGTTTCATTTGGCCAAAATCGTCTGCCACAAGACCTCAATCGAGCGCCATCAGCACGGACCATCAGCGTCTCCCCCAGACCCACAGGGGGCAGCAAAGACAGCAGCATCGGCTGCAGCAGCTAACAGGAACTCTCGAAGAAGACTTCTCCAGCCCCCATTGCTAACAGCATGGCAAAGAAAAGACCGCAGACTTTTCACAAACTGAGTGTTGACCCATCTACGGAACAGAATGCGAAAAATAAGGCCGCCAACCGCCGGAAAACCTAACAAGAAGAAGAAGGACACGACACATTGGTGTGCGTCAAAAATGAGACAAAGAAGACACGAAAGAAAAGGACATTGCAAGGAGAAGAAAGTGATTGAAAGAAGAAGAAGAAAGAAAGTGATTGAAAGAAGAAGAAAGAAAGTGATTGAAAGAAGAAGAGGAAAGAAAGTGATTATTGAAAGAAGAAGAAAAAAGGCATTGAGGCAAAGACATTGGACACTTTGAGACGAAAGACATTGAAAGACGCCATAAGAGGAGGACGTGGCCGGGCTAAATGAAACAGACAAAAGGTAATATACAGACAGGCAACAAACGCACAGAGACATATGGGACATTTAAGTCATATTTACACATTTAGCTAGGTCATTCGTTCATAACACTACATTTAGCTGCATGAAAGATTGCAGGACAATCGTTAAAATTAATTAGACTCTTGCTTTAGCATGAGACACAAGGAGATTAGAACAGCAGTATATTTAAAGGCACACCGCGGACTTTGTGACCTAAAGAGTTGACACATATGAGTTATTTTATATGAATACTTGGGCCAATATACAGCGCTTGACACTTGCAATGCTCCGAGCGGGGCTGCCCTCTTGAAATACCGCCCATGTAACTTTAGAGCAGACGGACCGTCTGCCACCAGGTCACGTGACTTGGAAGAAAGATATGCTTTACGGCTACAGGCGCTGATATACTCATGGAGCTAAGGCTTTTGCTACTCATTTTTCACCTGCTCGACTCCTGGTCATGGCTGAGGCAAGGAAAAATTTTAAACCTTCGGAGGAGGCTAAAAAGAGGAAACGCGAAAGGGATCGTGCTGTAAGCTGCATGTCTGTATGAGCGCTGCTCTTCACCTGGTTCCTGGATGTCATCGACTGCAAAGATGTCATTCCACGCAGCACGAGCTAGACGCAGAACTCCCTCATCCAGGATATAGAAGTCCATGTGTGGTAGATTACTAATGCAGCGGTCTGGAGGCTGACCACAGCAGAGTCTCTCAATATCTGTAGGCATGTCTCTACAGTTTGAACACACACACCAGTGCATGCTGTCTGAATACACACTCAAAAGACACCGGCTGACTGTTTGTTGACTTTTGCGACAGTGCTGAGTTGCTTGTGGCCACTAGGGGCGCTAAACGTGAAAGTTGCAGGTCTAGCGCCCCTAGTGGCCAAGAGTTACACGGTGTGCCTTTAAGGTAGAGGAGCTCTATTATTGAAACTATTATTGTTATTTAAAGTTATAGACGCGGAGAAGTTTAGAATTATTGATTTTGACTGCATGATCTTGGTAATACGGACATTGAAGGCAATTTTTCAACCTCTGAACCGTGGCTCGTTTCTCATTTAAGAACAATCACATGCACAGTTGAAACTGGTGCTAGAAAGAGAACTGCAGCTTTTAATGGACGCTGCATTTAGTACAAAATGGTTTGTTCAGACAATTAAAGTTTGAAAAATGATTTAAAGCATTTCTAAATTTTGGCTAAAGGTGATATTGGATCATTTCTGATAACACATTGACGCAACACTGTTCATTGGTTGAAAACAAGGATGTAGGGACATTTTATGAAATCTTTTATGACATGTTTCTCTTCCAAATAGCTAAATTAGAAACAATTAGGACAATTATGTCTTTGATACAACTGTTGGCAGTTTATCTGAGACATGATTGGTGCAAGTACGTCAACACACGTAGAACAATGGTCTTTTCTCCACATGAACGTGAAACAAAGGTGAAGTATTAAAGTTTGAGACTAATTTGCATTTTTAATGAATCCGACCTGGCTTTACTGAAAAAGAAAAAGAAGGAAAAAACATTTTTGGCGCGTGCACGAGTTTTTTTTTAAAGTAACAAGAGCTCATTAAAAATATAGGGGACACAGTCTGTGACAAGCCCGAGCAAAGACCACGTGGTAAACACTGAAGTTGGAAATGGATCCTTGTAGGAAAAATCTCTTAAAGCTCTGCATGTTCTGCAGGCTCTGAAAGTTGCAACAATAAAATAACTCAAGAGACAATTGTATTTGGACATGGAAAAATATAACAAAGTTAAAATTACAGGCCTCCTGTGTTGTCTATATGTTTGTGTGTGTTATATGTTTGTGTGTGTTATATGTTTGTGCGTCATGTCAAGTACACTACACTGACCTTAACAAACTCTGGACCAATATACTAACGTGGGGAATCGGCCTGTGTGAGTGTGTTGTGAGTGTGTTGTGAAATGAGGAGTGCTGAACGGAATCATGGAATAACAAATGTTTTTCTGTAATGTTTTAATGTGATGATGGAATAATTATTTTTTGTCAACAGCATACGGTGTAAGTACTAGAGATTCAAAGATAACAAGCTTTATTGAACAGGTGTAAAAGTGAGAGTACTCTGGGATGAGTACTCTGAGAAAATACTCTGAGAAAGTACTTTGCGGAAAGTACTCTGAGATGAATACCTTGCTGAAGGTACTGGGAGCCCCCCCTCTGCTGTTTGTCCTGACAGTGATTCGGTCCAACCGCAGTGAGTTGTTGTTGGTTGAAGGACAACTTTGGTTTGTAACTCACATTTAGGGGAGTATAAAATTAGAAACACACATATTGTTAAGTCTGTATTTGGCTACAGCCCCTGCCCTGATGTCACACACCGTCTGTCAATGCAGTTATGTTTTGCCCAATTGGAAAAAGATTGACAGGCTGCACCATGCGAAGAGAGGGAAGTGGGCATTTTTTGTGTTCTAATGTTTCTTTTTCAGATGAGAGATAATCTACCCCTGCTTCAGGGATGACAGTAGTATGGATCATAAGGAAATGAGCCTCTACTTTGGCACCAAAGCCCACAATACGAATGGAGGACGATCCGGGAGGAAGCAACTGGAGATGATGGGAACAGTAATCTACACACACATACAGATGCATGTTTTATACTTGGCCCATGACCAAAGAGAGGGAGTATAGTAATGTTATTGTCATAGGTGGTCATGGTCCTTTACCTTCTAAATCATTAGAAAGAAGTGTAAAACATATATTTACAAGAATAAATAAATAATAGAAAGAGCAGCCTAAAAGTAAAATGGGAAAATTATTAAGTAATTTTCGGAGTTGCCAAAATAAAATAAAATTCTTTATTTGTCCCATAGGGGGTCATTCTAAATTTAGTGTTGTGCAAATTCAAAAGGAGAAATAATAGCGCTTATAACATCAAGCAGATCTACTCTTTAAGATAATAGATCATATAATAGTAATAATAGAATAGAATGAAATAGTCTGGAGCTATAATAAGTAAGTTTTTATTTATATACCGCCTTTTCACTGCAGATCAGAGTCTCAAAGCGGTTTACAATTGTTAATTTTGGGCATTTGTCTCTCACTCCACACAGAGATGGGAGCGGGGTCGCCAGTACAGGAGGCGCATGCCAGAACTATTGGACATATTTTTAGTGGTAGGGGAAACCGGAGTACCCGGAGGAAACCTACGCAGACACGGGGAGAACATGCAAACTCCACTCAGAAAGGCCCTGGTCCGACCGGGATTCGAACCCAGGACCTTCTTGCTGAGAGGCGAGAGTGCTATCCACTCAGCCACCGTGCCGTGCCGTGCCGTGTCGTGCCGTGCCGTGTCCAATGTCATTGGATTCAAGGAGCTATAGGTTGAAGGGTCGCTAAGAAGAGGTGTCAAAATAAACAATAGTAATAATAGTTAGACTAGTGAATAATCATCCATCCATCCATCCATTTTCTTCCCCTTAATCCATTTCTGGGTCGGGGGGGTGGCAGTCAGAGCTGCACCCAGTACACAGAGCACCAGCCCCTCACTGATCCTCCTGCAGGTGGTGAGTCCACAGGAGTGAATAATCAGAATATTTCTATTGTGAAAATAAGTATCAATAAGGTCAAATTGTTCTAATAATTAGAGTAAAAAGGAATCAAATGGAGTCAGATTTTAGATGTTTCTGTTTTCCACATCTGTAGGAATTAGTGCAGATGTGTTTATAGAGAGTAGTATTAAAATGCAGACATAGAACGACAGGCTTTAACAAAATTTTAAATCTAAAAATAGCTCAAATATAACATTGCTTTTGACGCAGCCTCTGAGCTGCTCCATAGGAGAACAGGTTAAATGTTATTGTTTATTACAAACAGCTGATATATTTACACATATTAAGTTTGGGACAACTCTTTAAACAGCTATAAGCAGTGGACAGAAGCCATGAATGTGCTTTTGTTTATTAAATAATTAATTTCATAGCCATATAATCGTAGAGAACGTTTTTAAAATAGTTCTCTTCCTCCCGCTCCCTTACAGGCAACTTGATTTAGATTTATGTTTTTAATGTTGGAGAACGACTGTGTTGTTTTTGGAATTGTCTGAAATACAACACATAAAATAGTGATTTGTAGGACAAGAACCAGCCAATGAGAAATCATCTATTGCCAATGCTATTGCTACAACTAAAACCAGTGTAGCTTTGATTAATGAGATTGATTAATGAGATAGATTAATGAGATAGATTAGAACCAACACAGATTTAAAAGCATTTTAATGTATTTGGGTATAGCACAGAAGTAGATATTTGGGTATTTTTGAGAATTTTAAGAGCTGTCGATTTGTCAGCAATAGATTAGAGAATCAAATACCGTTGTAAAGGGACTGACCCCAGAGAAACCTGCTAAAATAGATTAGCTCTTGTAAGGATAATACCAATTTGATTAACGATGTACATTCATCCCAAACTGTCTTGAGAGGAGGAAGTGACAGCACTTCCTGGTTCAACAAATGTGTTTGGAAAAATGAGCAAAGCCCCACAAAATGGCACAAAGCCACTGATAATGAAAGCAAACCACAGTATAGACAGATTTATTAGATAAAAACATATGTTTAAGAATATGGCTCAATAAAAGCAAATATGCGAACATATTTGTAAATAGATTAGAATAGTTTAAACTATAGTGAATAGTTTTAGTGCATACATTACAGACGAGGTTGATGAAGAATCAGAATGACACAGCAGTAGTCATCAAAATAGTATTGAAGGAATGGTTAAAATGTGGTTTGTTGTGTGTTGTATTCTTTCTGTATTAACTCTTCACAGATATCGAGCCTGAACTAAGCACAAGTATTGATGATAAACGACGATGTGGATGTGACCTATTTATGAAAGGTCAAGAGAGGGTATAATGCATCATCTCAAGAAATGCTGCACACGTCGTTTATATTTTCAGTGATTTCATATTAAGTGGGGCCTAGTCAGAGTCGGCCAGACCATGTGAGGAATGCAGAGCTCCCCCAGCCAGATAAGAGTTGTTTGGAGAAGGAGATTGATGTCAGACCAGACCAAGACCAGACCAGACAAAGTCCGGAGTCCAGGCTGGCTGGGGTACGCGCCTCCCAAAACCAGAAAAAGCTGGATCAGACTGGACCAGTCTGGGACCTGTGACGTCATCAGACCTTCTGATAGAAACTGCTGGGAGGAGATTTTCAAGAAGTCAGAGCAGGGACAGTTAGACAGAGAACATGGCAGAGCGCCTGCATGTTCTCTGCACATTTTCAGGCCTGGAGGGAAAGTTTTTAGGATGGCTCAGCATAGGGTTAGTTTTAGAGAATTAATGGCTCCAAGGGTTTTGTATCGATATTTAATTGTAAAGAGAATTAAATTTCTATCTATTTTTAACTCTTGCATTCTTGGCCTTATTTCTGTATCAAATTCTGAACACGTCAGTCAAATCTTTTTTGACAACAATGGCCACCAGACCCATACACACGGACTGACCATGGACCACGGCGAACAACGGCCAACAGCCCGCCATTGGGACGGTGGAGACCACCTTAACCAGGGACGGGACTCCCACGTCGCCCCTCCGGGAACACACATGGACATGCGACGCAGCCACCATGACTACCCGACCCATGACTCTGACCCACCTGACGTCCATACGAGACATGTTTCAGACTACCGCCATTGGGACGAAAGGGCCCGCCCTGAACATGGCGGACAACCCTATCAACAACCCCCCTGGCCCACATCAGTACATGCTACATGGACCACACGACATACGGTACCCTGAGCCTGGGCCGCCCGCTAGAGCCCTGCACTTGAGCCCTTGGCCCGAGGGCCCCGACAGCCCGAGGGCCGGGCTTCGGGCCGATGACCGCATAATGACCTCGGACACGGGCCGGGCTCGGGCTCTTCATTTTCAGAGCGGCAGAATAGATTTACGAAGGCACCCACTGAATATAGCATTCTATCACGCTGTAGTGTTTGTTGTTCTGTGTAGTGTTGTCATTGACGGCACATAGCATTACTTACAGGTGTGTTGCAGCATCTGGGCATCATACAGATGCGGCCGTTCACTCTGCACCACTCCGCACACACAGAACTCATTGCAACACATCACTACCATGTATAACTCCGCCCTCTAGCTAAGTCTGCGTTCATATCAGTGCGCGGCACTATATACTACGCTAAAACATTGTTATGGGAGGTTACAAAAATAAAAAAAAAGTCGGGCTTGATGCGGGTTTCGGCCCTAAAAATTGAGAAACCATATCGGGCCGGGCCGGGCTGGGGCGCCACCCCCTCGGGCCAGGGCCGGGCTGGGGCGCCACCCCCTCGGGCCAGGGCCGGGCTCGGGCCCAGATAATAGGCCCGTGCAGGGCTCTACCGCCCGCATATGCTGCGGCACAATGGCCAGTGACCCGCCATGGGAACGCCGGGGACCTCCCCAATCATGGAGGGCAACCCCACGGCACCTCCCCGGACGCACGCCAAGACTTGACCCCAGGTCAACGGTACTACCCGGACTATAGAGGACGCGACGCCCGTTACGCGCCCCCGATAGGTGGAGACCCGCTCGGACCATCCGACCGCGAATTCGACCGCATAGCTAGACACATAACCCGCTTTGACCCCCGGCCCGGCATGCCTACAAACACCCGGTCATACCTCCGCGTCGTCGAATTCCACGCCGACCGCATACCACACGCATCTCAAGATGACAAAATATTCTTGATTAGACTCACGTCCAATGGAGAGGTGAATGACTTCATCGAAAGGCAACCAAAGGCTATAAAACACGACTACAACAAGCTCTGCAAAGCCATCCTAGCAGAATACTCAGAATACGGCGCCTCCGGGACCCTCACGGCAGCCATGGCAGTCAAACAAGCTCACAACGAGCTTGCGGAATGCTACTACCACAGGTTGCGACAGGCCTTCTTCAGCAACCGAAACTACGAAGGGATGGAGGAAGACACGAATTTGAGGGCCCTGTACCTCCAAAACCTCCACCCCAACCTCAGCCAGCTACTGGGCGTGTACGCCTGCCCCCTTACACAGGACATACGGCAACTGAAGACCCTGGTGGCACGGGCACAAGGCAAACATCTGCTCAAGACACAGGCGAAGCCGCAAACCCAACCTACAGTGTACAGTGTGGAAAACCACATGGAACTTGAGGGCGCACCAACGGCCCGGAAACACAAATGGGGAACCGACCACGGACCCCAAAGGAATAACCAGAAACACGCGAACCCGAAGAACGGACAGCCACGCGACCAGCAACTCCCGCAATATGGCGAGAGACGCGCCGGCCAGGCCGACGGGAAAGACCGCGCGCCACAACGGTCCCACCAAGACCGCACTGCTACAACCATTAATAAGAGCAACCTTTCTAGGGAGGAACAATCCCTCCTCCGCACGCTCCTGCGCAAAGCCAAAGAGAAGAAGACAGACAACGCCGACGTGTTCGCAGTGTCCGTGTCGGATGACGCCGAGAACGCTCCCTACCACATGGACGACGACCTCAGCGAACAGGAGCTAAATGACGACTACTCAAACGCACAAACGGTGGACATCTGCTACAACCAGAGGGATGTCATGGTAATACAGGTAAACTCCATCACAGGCCCACGAGAGGACGGCCCTTCGACAACCAACTGCGAACCACCGTTCCGCCAATTCATTGGCGATCTACAACAAAGAGGTACAGTGCCTTGCAAAAGTATTCGGCTCCCTTGAACCTTTCAACATTTTGCCACATTTCAGGCTTCAAACATAAAGATATACATTTTTTATTTTTTGTCATGGATCAACAACAAGTGGGACACAATCATGAAGTGGAACGAAATTTATTGGATAATTTAAACTTTTTTAACAAATAAAAAACTGAAAAGTGGGGCGTGCAATATTATTCGGCCCCCTTGCGCTAATACTTTGTAGCGCCACCTTTTGCTGCACTTACAGCTGCAAGTCGCTTGGGGTATGTCTCTATCAGTTTTGCACATCGAGAGACAGGAATTCTTTCCCATTCTTCCTTGCAAAACAGCTCGAGCTCAGTGAGGTTGGATGGAGAGCGTTTGTGAACAGCATTCTTCAGCTCTTTCCACAGATTCTCGATTGGATTCAGGTCTGGACTTTGACTTGGCCATTCTAACACCTGGATACGTCTATTTGTGAACCATTCCATTGTAGATTTGGCTTTATGTTTTGGATCATTGTCCTGTTGGAAGATAAATCTCCGTCCCAGTCTCAGGTCTTTTGCAGACTCCAACATCTTCCCATCAATTTTAGCCATCTTCCCTGTCCCTGCTGAAGAAAAGCAGGCCCAAAGCATGATGCTGCCACCACCATGTTTGACAGTGGGGATGGTGTGTTCAGGGTGATGAGCTGTGTTGCTTTTACGCCAAACATATCGTTTTGCATTGTGGCCAAAAAGTTCGATTTTGGTTTCATCTGACCAGAGCACCTTCTTCCACATGTTTGGTGTGTCTCCCACGAGACTTTTTATGGATATCTTTGAGAAATGGCTTTCTTCTTGCCACTCTTCCATAAAGGCCAGTTGTGCAGTGCACGACTGATTGTTGTCCTATGGACAGACTCTCCCACCTCAGCTGTAGTTATCTGCAGTTCATCCAGAGTGATCATGGGCCTCTTGGCTGCATCTCTGATCAGTCTTCTCCTTGTTTGAGATGAAAGTTTGGAGGGACGGCCGGGTCTTGGTAGATTTGCAGTGGTCTGACACTCCTTCCATTTCAATATAATTGCTTGCACAGTGCTCCTTGAGATGTTTAAAGCTTGGGAAATCTTTTTGTATCCAAATTCCGGCTTTAAACTTCTCCACAACAGTATCTCGGACCTGCCTGATGTGTTCCTTTGTCTTCATGGTTCTCTCTGTGCTTTAAACAGAACCCTGAGACTATCAAAGAGCAGGTGCATTTATACGGAGACTTGATTACACACAGGTGCATTCTATTTATCATCATCAGTCATTTAGGACAACATTGGATCATTCAAAGATCCTCACTGAACTTCTGGACTGAGTTTGCTGCACTGAAAGTAAAGGGGCCGAATAATATTGCACGCCCCACTTTTCAGTTTTTTATTTGTTAAAAAAGTTTAAATTATCCAATAAATCTCGTTCCACTTCACAATTGTGTCCCACTTGTTGTTGATTCATGACAAAAAAATTAAATTGTATATCTTTATGTTTGAAGCCTGAAATGTGGCGAAATGTTGAAAGGTTCAAGGGGGCCAAATACTTTCGCAAGGCACTGTACCTACGGGAAACTCTACCTGCCGGTAACACTCGAAGACCAATGGGAACACGATGCGCTCGTGGACACAGCTGCCGATATCAGCCTGATTGGCGAAGACCTCTTCGGTAAGTTACAGTCTATGGCCAGTAAATCCCGCAGAGACCTAAAAACGCAGCCGTGCGACTTAGAAATACAACCCTATTCCCAGGTAGATACGACCATACGTAAAATGGCTCTAATGCGACTGACCGTGGGCCCCATGACACTGGTCTACCCGGTCTACATCTCCCCATTCAACACGCAGCCGCTCCTATTGGGCCAGGACCTTCTAAATCGGTTTAGCCCCTAATAGACTACCAACGTCTGAAGATCTGGACACAGGTCCGGGAGCCCTTGCCCATTCCGCGCCCGTTGGGCAAAAACCTTCGCTACTCCGTAGACGCGCCGCCCGCGAACGGCCCACAGCCCGCCGCGGCACAAACCGAAACCGGTCAGGGGACGCCCACAACCTGCGCGAACGCCACGCGCACGGCCCCCGACCTCGACAGGTCGGACTTTGCCTCCCTCCGACAGGCGGACCCCACACTGGAACGCCCCTCCGACGTCATGGTCGCCACGACGCTTGGAATCTCCGGCCGTGATAAAGACATACTGCCGATACGCCATGGGCTGTTAGGTTCTGCTTCCGATACACTCACTTTGTCGGTGCTCGTGGTGTCTCGAAGCATGAGGGGGGTAATGTTGGCACACGCCCATAACGCACCTACCGCGGAACAAACAGGTATAAACAACACACGTCAGGCACTACAACAGGTAGAAAGGACGGACCGGACGGTGACCAAAATACTAAGGTACGTATCCCCAAACCGGAGTGACGAGAACGTGAAACTCCCCCGGCTCCTGAGGACAAACCAATACAGGACCGACCCGCAGGACCACCTCCAGGTCAAAAACCAGGTATGGTATTACACCTTGGCACATTCCCCAGGACACGTGGGAACCGGCCCCACCAGACTACGTCGGAAATCGCTACCCCGCTGGTCAGGACCATACAGGGTGGGAAACAAACTCTCAACCGCAGTGCACCAGATCGAGGTCACAAAAGGTAGAGAGCCCACCCTCAGATGGGCCCGTTACAGCCAAACCAAACCACACAAACAAAGCCCCATGGGACAAGCAGGGCACACTACAAACCCCAGTTAGGAACACACCACGTGACCTCAAACACGATTAGCCCAGCACCCACTAACACTCTTCTCGGCTGCACTAATCGAGTCTCTCTTTCTCCCTCTCTGTCTAACCCCTAACAATTGTTTCACGCCTTGCAGAACATGTGGCCCACTTTCCTTCTCATGCTGACCTGCATACTGTGCCTCGGCACCCCAGAAATTATTGAGACCGGACCAGCCTCCGGGATCGTTTTAAAGGAACAACCCGGGCTCCTCATCACGGACGTCCGACTCCACACACAGCGAATCTTTGTCAGACTCAATCCTAGTGAAGTCTGCCGCAAGAACCTGCCCTTGAAGGTCACACTCAAAGATTGGGCAGGTGCACGCTGGACCCAGACGGTCGTGGAGCACGCTGAGGCAGACATACAACACATGCTGACGCAACTAGAGAAGTTCACGATCACTAGGACAGAGCTCGGTGACCCTCGCCCCAGACCCAAACAATTTATTGGGGCTCTCCTCGGCGTCCGCCCTGGGCACCCTCTTTAGCCTAGGGATGTCCACGGTAAACGCCATTAGCCTATCCTCCCTCAGACGCCACCAACAAGAAATGGCCTCTGAACTCGAGGATGTCAAAACCAGACTTGACCAACAACAGAACGACGTGGTGACCTTGGGAAAGTCCCTGAAAGGAACCATGCTAGTACTTAACACGCACAAGGTTGCGATTAAACTCACCTCCGCTGCGGTCAACCAACTCTTAGACGTTCTCCAACTAGACTACGCCCATACTCAGCTGACCACCCAACTGATGGAGGACATGCTACGTCACCTCAGTTCCTCGATCGAAAACCTAGCCATGGGCCGTATCCCGCCATACCTTGTGCCGCTATCGTTAGTCGAGGACATCCTAGCCGTAGCCACACGGGACGCCGTAACCCCCATGCAAGCCCACTTAGCGTACACGCTGGGCGCTGCAGTCCCCATCTATGTTAATCCTCTGGACCGCGAGGTAGCCTTCCTAGTCACCCTACCGATAGTTCCCGGCGATAAAATCTACCGACTAAAAGGGATCACTAACCTAGGGACCTGGAGGGACAATGCCCACGTCAGAGTCCAGACCCCAGACATAGTAGCCTACCACGACAGAAACCCCAATTTGTACCTAACGCCAAATCTAAGGATGTGTACCCTCACCAAGGACATCCATTACCTCTGCCCCAGCAAACCTTTCGTCAGGGACAGCACAGATGGCATCTGCGGCCTGAGGCCCATGACTCCAGGGAGTCGATGCCCCGCGACGGTCACCTCTCGGAAACAAATAACCGAAACTAGAACAGAGATTGTAGGGGCACGATGGCTAGTGAACACTCCCCTTAGAACGGCGACCCTGACCTATGACAAACACGACACCTCGTCCCGAGTAAGCATCCCGGACGAAACCTTTTGGGTCGACGTCCCAGCCGACGCTATCCTGCACGTAGGCGACGTGGCATTATACCACCTGTATCCGAACCAGTACGAGGCAGAGGTCGAGGTACCAGAGTTCTTTGAGGAAAGGGCCTTGGAACTTCAACCCTCCACCCTCGTCCAAGCCACCTACGAGGGGGCACAAACCGTTGACGTTACGGTCGTAGACAACCTCCTTCAAGAGATTACCAAGCGACCGACCATCCACCACCAACCAGTAGCCTACTCCTGGGCCGCCCCCGATACAGTCATGGCCATCGCGGTAGGACTCGGGTACGGCCTGGCCGTAGCCACGGCCTTCGTCCTAAATAGACGGGTTAGACGACTCCGCGATAGCTTTAACAGGTGCACGGAGGCAATGACGAGACAGATCCATAGACGACCAAACCGGGGCGACAGCGCCGTCGAGCGTGGCAATTTTAGTCGGCGCCCCCAGGTCAACGAATCAGAGTACGAGGACCTCCAAAGCCACCCACTCGAGACGGTCACTCTTTCTATCACGGAAGGTGAACCAAGGGCCAGACAGAGGGGCAATAAAACAGCAGAACAAACATCGGTGTGCCCTTCTGCCTGACAGAGATCATCCATCTGCTATCACTCACGGACATTCCTGTTCCTGGACAATGAATGACTCACCCAGGACTCGGGTACGGCCTGGCCGTAGCCACGGCCTTCGTCCTAAATAGACGGGTTAGACGACTCCGCGATAGCTTTAACAGGTGCACGGAGGCAATGACGAGACAGATCCGTAGACGACCAAACCGGGGCGACAGCGCCGTCGAGCGTGGCAATTTAAGTCGGCGCCCCCATGTCAACGAATCAGAGTACGAGGACCTCCAAAGCCACCCACTCGAGACGGTCACTCTTTCTATCACGGAAGGTGAACCAAGGGCCTAAAAACCCCACTGAGAGTCACCAGCTCAGACCCAACCAATCTACCTCGATACCTAATCAGTCTCCTAGACAATCATACCTGTCATCCCCGTTTATATATAGGAAATTCCCCTTGTAATCAAAGCCCCACTTGCTACGTCATATATTCTTGTAACCCTTATACTCCCCTTTTTAGAACGAGCAAGATGGGAACCCCTCGCCATCGAGTGCCTTAATGACGCTCCTACCCGCTGCCAAGACAGCCACCCTTTTTGATTTTTGAAGTTTCATATTTTTGTATCCTAGTCCCCTAAAATAGAAACTCCTGCTAATCTCTTGGCTTGGAACTTTGAGTCTTCCAGACCAAGAGACCCAGGAGTCAGGCGCACCGGCCAAAACCCTAGAGTTCACGGCCGTAGCTCACTCCCTGAAACCCCTGATCCCGGTTAGAACTACATGCAGGGCCAGGACTCGCCTTAGAGAAAACCTGGCCTCGACAAACCAAGCCAGAGGCCCGAGACCCAACCGCCACGAGCCTGGCCCCAGTTAGGCGCTTGCGAATTACTGAGTCACATTAAGGCTAGAATGTTGTGGCATGTCACCACAAATCACGCACTAACACCCGAACAGGCGAGACGACCGACTGAGGACACCCACCCGGCATATCCGACATGACATGCACCTTGTCGGAAGGTGCATCTCTGCCGTGGGGGGGGGTGAGAAACAGGGCAGGCGCCAGTCGAGCGTGAATAGCAGCCCTTTTTGTAAACATGCCCCTCCCGAGCTCCGGAGAACTTCAAAGAAACTACGAGTTCAATGAAAGGCTAAACATCTGCCAGGACACTGCAAGAAGACAGACAGAGGGGCAATAAAACAGCAGAACAAACATCGGTGTGCCCTTCTGCCTGACAGAGATCATCCATCTGCTATCACTCACGGACATTCCTGTTCCTGGACAATGAATGACTCACCCACGGCGTTCTGGCGCCCCCCAGTGGACACTGAACACTATCACACCCGGGACGGACAATTTTAAACAGCACTCCTGGATTCATTATTCCAATAATCTGCATTTGTGCCCGACACGTGTGTATCATTGTCAAGTAATGTGAATGCGGTGTGTGCCTGTACATGTGTTATGAATGTCTGTATTAATCCTGCGTTTGTGCCATTATAACATGTCTGTTGTGAAGGAGGTCCCGGGCGGCGCACAAGGATGACGTCACGGACGCGCCCCCTTTAGAAGTCAATATAAACACACACAATGCAACAGAACGACCTCTTGGTTTTCCCGAAATCACCATCGCAACTATTCCTTTTGGTACGTATCTCCTACACGACCTACGCCCGCCACCATCTCGGGCCTATACATCCACGAGGACAGCAGCCACTCTCGCTGTCGGAGACGAGGACCTTCCATCGCCAGCCACTTTCGGGCTCCCTGGAACACCCCACCGCAACGCTATTCTAAACCGTGTTGTGTGTGGAACCCACGCCTGGATCCGATCTGCTGGCTTCCTCCCGCTCCCTGTTCGAACAAAGACCACGTGGACGAGAACATCGCCTCCATCCTATTCTTCATCCTCATCCTTCCATCTCCATCCTCCCTCGTCATCTTTCCATCGCCCACCTCCCTTGAACGGCTCAAAGTAAGACTGTTCTTTGTTGGAGTGTGATTCAAATGAGATGTATACAACTTCTGTTTAATGTGACCAGAAATCCTTTTCGTTATATTTTCTATCTTCAATTTTTGTAGTCAATAAACCCACGTTAAACTTTAACTCAATCATTTAAGCGTCGTGTTTTTAAATCTTGGATATCTCTGGCTGATTTA